GTGGGCTATATGCCCTTCCCGCTGCTGCCAGACGTGGCGTCTCGATTTGAAAACGCGAAGCTTCGCGGTTTGCGTCCTGCTGAACCTGCGGTTTGGCTCACTTTCTGACTTCTGATCACAAAGGCATTGTTGGAGTTGGCCCAAGCTATGCTTGGCCATCCCAGGGTGGGAGGGGGAGCTCAAACAGTGGCTGGTGCTTACTTGCGCGCTCTCTTGCGTGCTGGCTTGCTTGCTTGCTCGTGTTCCCGCTTCACTCAAGCGCTCAGATATCCCGAAGCCGCAGAAGGCCCGCACGCACGTCACGTTTGTGGTGAAGCCGCCGAGATGTTGGCTTTCCTTTTGAGTACATTTGTGAAAGAGGACGGGCACATTGCTTCGGCGACGCTCTTCGTTCGTACAGAAAGGGTTCAAAAGACCTACCCTGTGTGTACTGCCCCAACTCCCAGGGTGAGCTACAAGTGTTGGATCAGGAAGGGCTGGTATCCTCGCGCGCGCGATTCAAAGGGGGCACATTGATTTTTATGTCGGGCGCGTGGCGCGTGCATTGAAGGTTTTGCGGTCGGTGAACAAAAACACACGCACACAAGAAAGCACCATCGCAGTAGTGCACACATACGCGTATGAGCACATTCTTCCGCTTGGAACGTTGCAGCAGTGCACTCGCAAATGGTAGCTGCTGTACAACGAGCCGCGGAGTCTCCGTGAAATCTAAGGAAGAGAGCCCTGCAAGTGTAGAAAGTCTCTAGAAATTGGCATCCGTTGACTTTCCTTTTCCAACAAAGTTGAAAGGCAAACCTAGATTTCAGCGGGGGACGCTGCGGCTGAAGGTTGAGATGTTCCATGGCTGAGAACAGCATTCTCCCACAACCTACTTCATTTTTGTTTTACACCTTGTACCATGCAACTTGTATGGGGCATGGGGTTGTTGAATCATAGTGCCAGGTGTTGAGGCTACTTGTCAGGGGTTTCCAGATGAAATCACACCCAACAAGTCTTTACCGAGGAGGAGACGGAGATCAACATCTTATCCTGCAACTACAGATACGATGCCGCGAAGCCCTCTTGGCTGCATAGGATGACTCACGCTGGGAGCCTATTACTAGAGGAAACAGCTTTAAGTGGTACTCATGTTGGGGTTTTTTCAAAGGAACATCTACGGGAACCAGCCATTTCTGGGTTATCTTGAGGCACACCCGCTTCGAATAGACTCTATCGCCGTTTATTTTTTTTCTCTTTGGGCATCCCACCATTTTCCCATGGACCAGCAAAAACATCAGGGTGTGTACGTTTGGGTAAGAGAAGGAGGAAGCTCGTGCTGCGGCTTCCGAGACTGCTTTCCGGGTTTCCGAAAAGCTTTGGTCTGGTGGTGCCTAAAGGCACTAGAAGACTCTCTGGCTTCAAACATGTCATCTTGGGCTTCCAGTTTTGATGTGGATGTGTCTCAAGCAATGTGAACTGTAAGAGGCTGAGGGGAATTTGTTTCGAGATACCAAACGGACAATTTGATTTCCAATTTGAGAAATATTCAGGAATATCAAGGCCGACGTGTTCCTGGCCCGGAGGGCGCTTCCTTCGGTGCGAGGGGGGTCCTGAGGACCACCGTGTCACTTTGGAAACAACAGGTTTTCACGCCGAACTCGCTTCCAGAGACCCGGTTAGATGGAGCTGTTGGAAAGGCCCTACTTGTCTTTGTGTAGGGTGGTTTCTGGCCAAGTGCACTTGGTAAGTTTTCTTGCTGGTGCGATAGGCAGGGAGTGAGAGATGGAATGATCCCTAAAAACCATCCATGTGGTGGTTTCCTCTAAGAGGACCTCTGGGTTCATTGCCTCATTCCCTACTGAGCAGCAAGTTTTGGCGCCAATCCTTCCCTTTCCAGGTGGAATCTGGTGTCGCCCTCCTCCTTCGACTTTGTCTCCAAGTTGCCACTCGGCTTCACTCGCGAGGAATCAACGGGGTCCCTACCTGACAACGTAAACCTCCCCCGTCAAGTTTGCCAAGGAATCCTCGCAGCTGTTAAGTGCTTTTACTTAAGTTGTGTTTTATCATTCTCAAGGGTTTTGAAAGGGTATGGTCTTATATTTATTGGTACATATGCTACCTGCCGCGTCAAGCGGTCACTTATGTTTGTTCAATTGTGACATTGACTACTTTCTCGGGAAGTGGCCTTCAAAAACTGGTGAGCAGTTTTCTGACTACACAAGCACATGTTGCAAAAACAGACAGTTTCGATACCCTGCGGCTCTAGGTATCATTTGTTGCAGTTCTGATTCGTACCGTTCAGAACTGCGGGACAAGAATCACGATTCGGGCTTTGGTTTGAACCTTTTTGGTGCCGCAAATCGAGATTAAACGCCCGGGCGCGACACCCTGCAAATCGTAAAGGACGAGAACAAAAATGCCTCATTACCCGGCGAACCACGGGGATTCAACCCAGAAGTTTGGTCCAGGTATGGCAAGCACGATCAACATCAGCATGGCAAGCAAGTTGCGGCCCGTCCACGCAAAGCAAGCGCCTGCAAAGATAGCCCACAACGATTCCAAAAGAATCGACCAATTTGCCTCAAACTCGGCCCCAGCGGCCCATTTCTGTTCAGTTGGCCAGAACAAGTGTGGCAAACCACATTGGGCAAGAATATGTGCTAACATGAACCTGCCGGTATGATTTTCCTTGAGCGCATGGACATTCAGGGTCTTCACGCAGAAACCGAAAAGCAGCTCGCTGTTCCACAACGCACAAGAAGCCCCGGCAGTCCCTTTTGCGGAAGCACAACCCATTGGACTATTTTCAGGATTATCCTATAGGCAACGCCCCAAACACTGTTTGCTGCAACAGGAAGGCCTCGAGATTGTGTTCCCCCCTTTTCCCCCATCCAAGAGTATTTTCCTTCAGAAAGCCAGATGGCGATGGATCACATTGGCTATACTCTAAGAAAGGCTCTCTATTTGAATCTTAGCCATGTGGGTGTGTCTCAAAGCAGGGGAACCCCCGTGGTGTTACCTCGTTTGGTTTGCCTTACGGTCTATGTCAAAAGGCAAGCAAAAAGGAGTCCGGAGTCCCGTCTATCCTCCATATCCATTTGAGCGTTCTTGTTGCAACTCTGGGACGGTGGGATAAAATTTAGGACCTTGCACTGAAACAGCAATGGCAATGGAGCAGCACAGATTATGATAGAGAAGCAAAGACAAGAAAGCCAACTTCACATGGAACAACCAAGATAAAAGCAATACATTCATGTTCAAGGATTTCGCAGGAGACAAACAAAAACATGCGCCAGGCTGCAGAGAGACCCTGAGCAGCGCATGACTGCAGAGCAGGCTGTCGGGAGATTTTCGCTGAAGCCGGGACAGTCCAGAGGGAGCCTTCAGATGCGAACCGGCCAAGATGACTTGGAGTATTGATAGGGGTCCGCATATTTCCCATTTGGATGGATTAACCATACTTTGGAGCAGTGCCTTCGAAAGACTGGGGTTGGTTGGGTTCACCTTAGAGGGTTTAGACAATATGATTTATGTAAGGGGACCCATGACCATGGCTCTTTTAATTTGTTTTGACCATGCCAAACGGGAATGTCTCAAAATGCTTGGAGCTTCTCTGGTTTCCAAGGAGACCTGCCAGGAACGGCCGAAGGGAGTCAAGCTAGAATCTCCTTCCATTTGCAGGATTGCAAGTTGAAAAAGATATTCCGGCCCCCTTGCCCCATTCGAGGGCACGTCACAAAACGAGCTCCAGCAAAAGTAAAAGCAGTATTATGGTGCAATCGGACCTGGGCTGTTTTTTTTGGGGGGAGGATGCTTTTGAAAGAAAGCCAAACATCTCAGGGATCCAACTACTTTGCGTACCCCGCAATTCGCACAGATAAAGGTTAGTATGGGGTAGTCCCAGGCGCAAATAGGTGCGAGCGTCCTTTTATTTCTTTGCACTGATGTGGGTTGACCCTTTCAAAACCAGGTCTGATGGGGGGAAGAGAGTCACTTGTGAGATGGCTTCACCAAATGCCCTTCGTTTGGTACTATCAAAACGGTGGCTTTCTTTGGACACGAATTACTCTTGGACACGTTCTCCCGGCAGACTTCTCCCGGAATGCGAAGAGTTATTTTTCCAGAAACGTTTGGGGACACCATCAGCTTAAACAGGATAAACACACACACTCGCACATGCCACATTCACTACGTAAGAACACTTTCACAGCATCAGCTCAAACACAACTGGAAGCTTGTTACACTTTCCAGTTGTCCTTTTCCTTTTGTTGCTGGCGGGTAGGGCTGACGAGAGCTGTCAAAACGCAACCCTCTTCCTGAATCGGGCGGATCGATGAGCAAAACCCCGAGTGTTTGACAGCTTTTCCGGACTACGGCGAACCCTCTGCATGGGTCGGGTGGGTCGAGGTGCAAAACCTCCGACTGTTTTGCAACCGTTTTAGCCTTGGTCGTTCATGTTCAGTTGATCCAGCCCCAGTGGCATTTGATGGTTTCTGGTTTGACATCAGCCAAACCAGGCTGGCCTTTGTGATGGTTCTACTGTTTCAAAAACATCTGGCATTTGCCAAGAAGCTTACTCCCTGATTTTGCCGAACTTGCGGCTTTCAGCCAGGAACTGAGGAATGGTTGCCTCTTTGTTTCCCATGAGAAGCCGCCTCGGGGGAACGGTTCCAGCTGCAGAGCCGGAAGCTTTCGTTTGGAGTTCGCACAAGTTTGACCGGTTTTCGCAGGCCCAAGGGAGGTGAAACCGGAATCCAAAAGGAAAGCAATGACTTTAAGCGTCCGTAAGGACTGCACACACATATTTTTTTGACTTGAGTTAACTTTGGCAGAACCCAGTCCACAAAGTCCGACGCGCCAGGAAGTCGCACACAAATCCCCATGTTCACCATGGCTCGCGTTATTTCATCAGGCCCTGGCACACCCCTGGATCGCTGAGCGGGAGCAGATGAAGAGCGGCACCGATTCCGCGGTGTCGTGGACGTCGAATCGGCTATGATTACCCTTCTTGGCTATTGGGTTGGATCTGAAAACCTGACTGACTTGTTGGACGATGTGTGTTTCCTCGCGAACCAGCTACATGGGAACTTTTGTGTGGGGGTAGCCGCATAGTTTTGATGCTCGTTCAGCAATAGCTGCTTTTTTAGTGGGGTGATTTTCAACATCCATCCACCTTTTTGAATTGCAAATGTTCAATGTGGCACGTTGATATTTGTATTGGAGCTAGTAGGAGATGCTGTTCATTCGCCAGTCCAGACGGCTGGTTTTTTGGCTTGATCTTTCAGCTGCTATGACTTTCCCGACTGAAGGTGCCTTCGACATTCTCCGAACCCAGCGTTGCCCATTGAATATTGCCATTTTTGTGGTCCGTTTGATTCGAAGTGTTGGTGTCTTTTTGGCGACTTCAACCTACGTAAAAAGAGGGGCAAGCCCCTTCTTTTGCCCAATGCTCAGCCAAGGCTTTCCTGCACATCGAAACCCCTTTGTTTCTCCGAGCCCCCAGAAGAAAGGCTGTCCTGTAAAGTCAAGCAATTCAATCAAGCAGAAGCACAGCAACTTCGTGCTTGTTCGCCACAGGCCACTGGTTGCAACTGGTTTAGGGGATTCCGAATTCCCATTCTGCGTGCTTCGTCTGAAGCAATAGGACTGTTGCTGGGGAGTGTCCGGGAGTGTTGATCGTGCTGTTTGCATTGTTTGTGTTGTTTGCATGGTTTGTGTTGTTTGCATTGTCTGTGCTGTTTGTATTGGTGCGTTAACGTGTTACCTGTGTCAGTAGGCTACAGCATCCCAATCTTTGAGATGATCAGACAAAACTCACGCCCCGATAGGTGCATGCTATCATTTCCGGTGCATGTTGGCTGGTACATGACCTTGTTCGCAGTGTGCGTCGCCAACAATGTGTGTGGCTTTTCGATTTTGTTTTTATTGCTTTCCGGCATTCGTCTTTTGCCGTTGACCAGCGCTTCCGCACTAGGCGTTCTTTGCATCGACCCGGCCCTGTTGGCTTTTCACCACATGAGTTTCCCTTCCAAAAACTACACTCCCGTTCACCACAAACCAACTCTATGCCAAGCTGTCTTGAGTTGAGTTGAAGGGGTATATGACACATTCATTGATCTAGAAGCTAGCTCATGTCCGATCTCCTCACTTTCCCCCGCAGCAGTTTTGTAAACAAGATAAAAAGCAAGTACTTTTTGGCGTGAGTGTGATATCAAGCAACAGGCTCAAGGCTTTGACACAAGAGTACATCAGACCTCCTATGCTTCTCAAGATGCTGAGTTGCCTAAAGCGAAATCCTTGGATTCCTTTAGGCTATGTTTTGGTTTTCTTGGCCGTTTCGGGGGACTTCAGACTCGCACGCTTTTTCGGGCTTACCGCAGCTTACCAGTCATCAGGAACATCCGGTTCTCCACTTTCAATGTTTGGGGGAGTTGTATTTTTGTCCCCTTGAAATACTGTGGATGGACGAAATCCTGCACCATGTTGAAACCATGGGAAACCATTGTTCGCTGGTATTTACAGGGGAATCATCATTTCAGGGTTTGTTAGAGAGGTGCAGGATTCTGCCCATCCACAGTATCACCCAGAGAAAGCTCGGTTGAACCTGTCCGGCCAGTGACTCAAGTCTGTCCGATGTGCCGAGGGCTTGGACGATGCTGTGGTGCGCTCTCTCGCAGCCATTGGGCAAGTCTGGACAGTGGGCGTGTCTTCGTTTGGGGGACTCCCATAATGGTGGTTTCTCTTTTGGCTTCCCCTTAAAGCCACCAACAAAGGGGGGTACCAACTCCCAAAAAAGACACCCAAACACCCATAGTTTGTTTTACCCAAAGGGAAACCGAGGGGGCATGTGTGTGTGTGTGTGTGTTTTGTGTTTTTTTCCAGACCCCTATTTTAACACCCTCCAATGGCCATAAAGGCAGCCTACTGCTTTTGGCCCCTTGTAGATGTTCCAAAGAAGACCCAAAGCAAACCAACCATCCGTAAGCATTCGCCCAATTCCAATGTGTTGAAATGGACATTTTGCTATGAGAATGGCAACACCAGAACCAGGGAACCCTTTTTGGGTCCTTGACTTTCCAAGTTAAAGCAACGCGAAAGCCAGAGCTGACAACACCCATTTGTGGTGGGGGAGGCGGTGGCCCTGGTTTGACAAACAACCCGAAGAAATCCTTGCCTGCGTACTTTCACCCACCTGATTCCAGTGCCCTGTAGCCACGGGAACCAGTCTCTGCAAAGGAAAATGGCTTGATACCCACAGAGTGGCTATTTGGAATCAACGGGGCCATTTTGAAAGAGTACTTAGTTCTTTGCGCTGGTCAACCAATTGCCAAATGGTGCTGCGACCTCAGCCAACACAGGAATCCCAAACGGTGGTACTGTCCGAAAGGAGATTCACGCAAGAATAGGTGGTTTGGCCGATGGTGTCAACAGTCTGCTTTAAGGAGCTTGCTCGGCTTATAGCATGGTCCTGATGAATTCCGCAGTTTTGCTGGGAGCATGGGGATCTGTGAACCCATGTCTGGTGTGAAGAGTGAGGAATCTGAGAGATCTCTGAACGGCAGAGTTGGGTTGGTAGATTTTCCACTGAACCGTTTTTCTCGGGTCTTGTGTCACATTACACGTTGAAATGACAGAAGCTTTGCTGTAGACCCCCTGTCAGCTAAGGATCAGTTGCATCCCAGGTATTCATTGTCTGCCGAAGGCCTCCGCCCCTATCGCGGACCACTGAGTTGTGATTGGCCCCACGAGCCCCGCCTGGCACCCGCGGAAACCGCTCCCTTGCGATATTGCTCAACATGGGGTGACGTCCCATATTTGACTGCATGGCTAGACTGTCAAACATCGTTACCTTTGCTGTTTTTGTAGCGCTCAGTGTGTTCGGGCAGTTTGAGGTTCCACCTGTACATTTGGGCATGCCACCTTTAAGCCCTTGCTCCGCGTAAGCAAGTGGCTCGCCGAGGAGTATGCGAAGTCGTCCAAGTTCCGGAGGACCTGCTTGCAGGCCGGTGTTACCCCAAACTGTCATGTGGCTGGGGAATCCTCAAAAAGGGTGGTTTCCCTTTGCCCAAACCGGTCAGAACTCTGTTGGGATAAGTAGGGGTCATCAACCCTTTAGTTCTGGGAAATGTGTCAGGTTTCCAAACGAGCCATGTGCGTGGCCCGCACAAGGAGTGTTGACCAGCCCCGGCTTGCGTGCCTACCAGCCGACAGGGCTGTGCCGGCCAATCTCGAGCGGTTGCCATGGCTACAGCTATGTCATGGAGATGGTCATGGTGGTGCTCATCAGGTGGTTACAGGAGGTGGATGGCAGCCCTGAGCAGAGGAGCGGCACTGGTTGGATGGTGCATTGTGGTCATGATTGCGTGGAAGCAGCCTTTTGTGGACATTCTGCATTTGCCTCAACCGTACATTTTTCATGGAAACATCGGTGAGCTCTCAGTGCCAGCGGATATGGTCAACTTGGCCCTTTGGCGCAGGACCTTTATGTGCGAGGGTGTTGTGTCAGCCGTACTCACGCCTGGAAGATCAGAACCGCAAGATGGACGACAGGGCGAGCACGCTGTCAGCGGTCCTGAGTCTTGGATTTGCCCTTCAAGTGAACCTTGTGGTTCTCGCGTGTGTATCGCAGATACAGCGCAGTCAGTGGGCAGGAGCCTATTGCAGAGTGTGCGCAGCAGCGTTGCCATGTTGTATGGCAAACGGAGTTGCACATGCAGCAACTGCGTGCCTGGTGAAGTGAATGGGGCCGCTTGTCAAGCATGCAAAGCAAGGTATTGGCATTGATGCTGCGCCTCGCGCCGCTCCTGTTGTCTCTGCATCCGGACTCTGGTTTGCTTGCACGCTGGTCAGTGAAGGTTGAGATGTATAAGAAGGGGGGCTTGAACCAAGAGCTGCAGAACAATGTCTAAATATAGCTCCAAAGGGGATGGGTTGTTGTTTTTCCAACCGCGCTCAGTGTTGGGCGAAAGTTGTTGCAAGCGACTTCAAAAACCATGGTCAGTGGTAAAATAAAGCCGGCAAACAGCTGATTTCAATTTTACTTGGCGAATCCCGCCGTGAAGCAGGGGGGCGACGGGTAGACTGCAGAAGTGGCGGACCCGTTGGGAATTCGCTTTCTTGGTTTCTCGGCATTGTCTAAAAAGGTGGACACTATGGCCAATGGCCATTTGGCACCAGGATTGAACCACTAGGGGATCGGCCATAGCCAAATTGATCATCCTTATGCCTCCGGACAAACATATATCTACGTGTGGGACCTCCTCCATCGGTGAATGTTGCATCCGTACAGGAACATGCTGGGTGATTCAATTTCTGAGGCTTCTGAGGGTTGCAGTGCATTCACATGGGGGTAGTTTGTTGAGGGTGAGGGGTGGGCCCAATCTCTTCAGAAAAGTCCGTATGGCCACCACCCAATTCGCGGTTGTCCTCTGGGAAGAACTGAAGACGAACAAGTCAGTGGCCCATCAGAGATTTGCGGCCTTGTTATCCTTTCCGTGATAATGTCGTGTATGGCATACTTCTGGGTGTAGGAAATTGGTTAGATACCCCTTCGCAAGGTCCAATTGTATTATGTTGCCTTGCGGGCTATGTTCACTCATGTTCTTATTGCGCATGGTAGTCCACAAAGATGAACAAACATGTGGTTGGATCCTCATTCCTGGACGCACGTTTTAGCTGGCCACGTGCAAGCACGCAACCTACCGCTCAGTTTGCCGCTTCTTTTGATATGGCTGTGGGTCAAAATCAATGGTACCAAATTGGGGTAGGCTCACCACCCATTTTGGTCCATTTTAGTGGGGATTGGGATGTTCACTTGGGGGTACGGGCTTTTGACTGATGGCCATATGTTCAAGAAGGGGACGAGTTGTGCCCAAGAGATCTGCAGCTTTCATCTGACCCACTCCTGGACCGCAGAACAGGCGGTCTTTACGTGGGGTTGCCCAAAACAGACTGGTGGACACAGACAGCGCAACTCGCTTCAGCGTTCCTGACAGGGGGAATTCAAGAATGCAATGTGCATCTTGTTCAAGAAGCCACATCCAAGTTCGCGAACATAGTTGGATTATGTTCGCGCGAACTCAATGCTGCCGACGCGCGAAGAGTAGAACATCAGGATGGTCACCAGAAACTTGTCATTCAGTGGATTGAAAGTCGCAAGCACTGCCGGGGCTCATTTGAAATGGACGGGGCTTGCGAAACACCGCACAACACAGTGAATATGCAAGTCTCCCGCAAGTTGACAACGTGAGAGTCGTCTATTTTGTGGCATGTTTCATGAAGAACATCACCGAGAAAGCAGGCAGCCACAACATGCCACAACAAACACGCAGGCAGCGAAAGCAGCCGCGCGAGGACAGCAAAATGTGCCCAGAGCAATGAACCGCAATCGGAAGTGAAGACAGTGGACACAACCGAAGCCAGGACAGGGTCCACCAAATCGAATAAAGAGTCCAAGTATAAAATGCTAATTTGAAAGAAAGGTGCAAGCAAAGGATGAGCCGCGAACAAAGACAACACGCCTGCCAAGCGACAGAGGGCCCAAGACCTAAGGCAAAACGGGCATCATTTGACATGAGCATGAGAAGTAATGCTGCGGGGCCAGAACGCAGTGCCATGTTTTGCAATTATCAACATCTCCGAGCAAACTCCGCAAGCCACGATGCGTTCAAAATTCATGTCATCTTGTCGGGGGAACCCCCCGTCTGGAGGGTCAATCTATAAGCAACATTTGCACACCGCAACAGACGCACACACACACACACATACAAACTCGGAGACCGTAGATTAATTAAGCGGCCTGCCCAGCTGGTTTCTTTGCGATAACAATGCCACGAGGTGTGTGACGGTGTTTCTACGTCAAATACGAAACGCCAGAATCAGAAGCACTTGGCGCTTTGTAATGATGGTAAACTCCACTTATTTTGCGCTGAGTGTAATCGTAGTCATCCGGTTCTTCATCAGGTTGCGTTTCGGGGACCCTGCCAACTACCAGCCCCTTCCTGCCAAAACGACAGGCTTGTCAAGACCCTCGTCCTCAGGGGTTCCTGGGGTTTGGTGGGGTCTCTGAGTTGGACTGGTACGCTGAAATCACATCCTTCCAAATCTTCGGATTAAAACACCGTCTCGGATTTTAAGCGGCGCCAAAGTGGACACATGGATTGAATGCCACTGTTGGACATGTTTGTTTGGTTCGGCCATCTTGCCCGCCAAGGGCACAAGGGCCTATCTAAGTTCCATGAAAACCTCGACACAGGGTCGGCGTCGCTAGGTCATGGCTTGGTCGTTGAACAACTCCGAGATGGCGGAGGTGCGCCAGGCGGGTCCCGAGTCCCGATCGATGCTCGTTTCGATGGCTTGAAGCTGCTCTTTTTGTTAGGGCGACCTGTTTATATACCCGGAGTCTCCATGACCCTTACAAAACGGGTCCATGACCCCTTTATTTTGGGTAATGGCCCCATTTTTGAGGGTCATGGAGACTGCAGGTCCGGGTTTTCCAATCAACGGGTTCCGATCCCTTGCACTTGAAAGGATTTGTTGCTGGTGTTTTTTCGCGCATCCCATATCGGGTCGAACCCAACGGGTCCAGTTAGCGGATCCCATGTAGGTGACCAGGCGTCTTTATTTTGGTCAATGGACGGTTCCGTTGGTTAGCTATAGAGACATCGTTCCACTGGGGCATTGATAACCGGCATTCCTGACCAGACAGAACTGCCCCAGCACAAACGTGGGGTTTGTGCACAAACCCTTTTGGGAAGACGGAACATAGACGTTTGGGTCCATGTTGTGGGGAACTCTTTGGGGCATCCTCCGAACACACTTCCAACATAGTCTGAATGGCGGTTTCCAGGAGTTTGCCGTTTGATCTCGCTGAAAGAAGAACACATGAAAGGGAACACCCCAAAGCCGCTTGGAATTTATGTTGCTTGCCACTGTCCTCCCAATGGATGAATCATGGAACCTAAAATGGTAGGCTGGTGGCAGGCTTCCCAATTGCCCGGATTCCAAATTCTGATCTAAACACATCGCAACCACGAGGCACTGTTATATTTCACAAAGAGGAATTCCCCGGACCTGTCTGGGATCATTTCATTCAATTTCATGTCAAAAAGGTCGAGGTCCTTTTGAGTGTGCTTTTTTAGGTTGGACCCCCAAAATGGTGGGTGTTACTTTTGATTTCTCTTTCAAGCCAGCAAACAAGGGCTACCAGCACCAAAAAGGAAAGAAGTTGTTTGTGGTTTCTCTTGGTTTCCCTTTCAAAGCACCAACCAACAGCACCAACTCCAAAAAAAAACGGCCACCCCGGCCTCTTTTGGCGGTTTCTTTGGGGCCTCACGTCTTCTGGCTTCTTTTTAAGTTTCCCCTGCGTGTTTCGCTTGGCAAAGCATCTCTCTCTCCACCGGCCATTTGTTTAGGGAGCGGCGAAAAAAAGCGAGAATCGAGCGGCCAGGCCTTCATGGAGCTGGATCAGGACAAGAAGGGCACCATCCAGCTCCACGAGCTGAAGACAGCCGCTTGCATGATCTCTGGATGGGATGGGATGGGATGGGGTCAATGGTTTTTTGATGTTTCTCAGGTGACCCGTTCTTTGGCTTGTTTTTCGGTTCATATGTTTGTTTCTGAGGTGACCTTTTGTTTGAGGAAACCAACAGGAAGAAAGCCGCCGTTTTGGCGGGTGCCCGAACAAAGAGACTCAGCTGAACAGCTCTTGGCTGTCGTTAACCTTATTAGTAAATAAATGAGTTTCCCACTTGCAACAAGTCATATTACACTGTGGCAGGGGGTAGCCGTCAAGCTGTTCAGCGTTATTAACCCAGGGCAAATCCGCAAATCCATGGAGGTCGATGGTGCATGGGATTGTTTTGCTTGGGGGCTTCCGTTGAAATGACCGCCGGCTCCTTTGCCGACTGGAGGGACCCTGATCGCGTCGCGAAGAGAAGCTCCGGGCGAGGGATCCCCGGGAGCTGAGACACCGAGCTGCGACAACCCTGGCTCTCCTTCGGAATGGATCGCACATGAACAGGACGTGGATGCACGGTTTGCCACAAAAAGCAAGCAACATAAGCAAATTTGGAGTTCCAAGCAGCCGGTTCGTCCAATCGCCCTCGCTTCTTCCGAGCTCGATTTGTCTTTTGAAAGAAGTAGTAGCAAATTGAAAGTCAACAGAGTGAAATTCAACGGAAGCCGCTACCATTTTTCGGGACCTACTTGAGTTGCGACATCCTGGGAATAGAAGAGCAGCCTGGCGAACAACCAACAAGCCCGTGTTTTCTAAACTGCGACGACAATCCGGAGTTTGGGCCAGCCTTGGGGTGGGTTCAGGGCATGTTCCGGGCAGGGCCCACATCGGGGAAAGCGCCTTGGAGGTAGGGAGGTGCTGTTGAATTTGGCCGATGATCCGTTGGCTATGTCGGTTTCTCGGTTTATCTTCTTTCATTTTTTCCATTTGAAGTTGTTCTGAGAGTGGCTTCTGAGGTGCTGGAAGAGAAATTTCACATCACTGATGAAGAGACGAAGAACATCTTCGAAGCCATGGACCCCAGCAACCACGAGGCCCAAATGGACACACAGATTGCCGTTTGCACTTAAATCGTCGGCTTGCTGAACGGACACTGTGAATAGTCACCCAGGTATGTTGCGTGTGCATGACCTGCACGGGCATTGTTTCTTCCATGTCCCCAGGATATGGAAAGGCGTGATTTGCAATGCTGACGTGTTGGTCGGTATCCAGAAAGGAGCGAAAGCACCTTAAGGATCATATTCAGATCTCAGGGGATTTCGTTGGGTCAAGCTTTTGCAGAAGCTGAACTTCGCTAAACAGCGCTACGCCGAAAACTCGGCGCATCTAGTTGCCACAATCACGGGTCCTTCGGCATCGTTTGCTGGAGCATGAATGAACAATTCACGGTGTGGCTCGATTGGCAGGGTCTGGTCAGTCCTGCGGGGACCATAGAATTCTTGCCCCCCAAGCCAATTTTGGCCTGAATTTGTCAAGCGTCATGGGCGCGCCAGTCTCGTTTGAATTTTGCCTGCAGGTTGGCCATGGTACCGTGTCCGAACATGCGCACCTGCTTAAAGAACAGTGTGCCCATTCTCAGCAACGCATCCCAACCCAGTCTTTGCATCTAGGGTGGCGGCAAACCCATGGCAGCAAGCATGAGTCCGTGTCAAAATCGGGGGGAATTGTGAATGGTTTCCTTGTGGTTTCCCTTTGAAGCCACCCCAATCAAGGGACCCAGAAACAAGTCACACGGCCATATTACTTAACGCAGACTTGTGCACATGACGACTGGCAATGGGGCCAAGGCTCAAGGGTGCATGTTACATTCAACATAAGCATACTGCACCGGTTTGAGCCATACGAGACAAAATGAGCAAGCTTCGAGATTATGTTTCGAGCTTGGTTGGCCTTCGCAAAACATTTGGCAGAAAGGCAGAACATACTGGCAGGGCCCCAATTCTTCTTACCCGTTCTTTTGAGAAATACTTACACTCTTCTTCGTGTTTTTGCACAATTTCTGAACAGCATCCCTGCAAAGAGTGGGGCGTCAGACCGTTTGGCAGAACATCCCGTCGGGCCGAAGACAGTTTCGATCATCCCAAGTGCGTGGCACTGTGTGCAAAAGTCCCTCATGTTCTTGAGGACATGTTCCATCATCCCTTCGTATCAAAACATCTCCCGCGCTTGTTTGGATGCTAGATCGTTTCCAGCACGGCGATTAAAATCAAAAGCGGGAGGATGCTGTCCGAGATGATTGGCAAGATGTGTGGGGCTGTGTGCAGCACTCCTCGCCTCTCACGAGTTACATAGGACAGTGGACTTTTCAAAGCTAGACACTGCAATTCTCATGTGGTAAATCAAGCTTGGGGGGTTATTTTGGGATGAAGCCTAAATGTATGAAGGATACTTTCACTGGTTCTGGATTTGCAGCTTTGTCATGTAGATATCTTCACCGGACACCTCGTCCGAGGTGTTTGGACAGCAACGCAGAATAGACCTCATGATTTGACATTCCGGACCTACCAAGCAAGTGGACCTACAAATGAACTTTGCACCTGCTAAACCTATCTAAACCTCACACAATTCTACATCAACTGGCATGTTGCAAGTAGCGGCTCCCCCTTGTCGCAGGAGGTGAAGTACTCGGAGTTTTTGGGTGCGATGCTGTCTTCTCGCATCGAGCCTGAGCTGCTATTTTTCACACGTTGTCTAATTGTTGCCTTTGACCGTCGTTGGCATCTCATGGTGCATAGGTTGCATCAGGTTCTTTGACCGGGCCAGCTTAGCACTCGGAGGTCGCTCCTTGACACAGCTGTAGCTGAATGACCAAGATGCCTGGGCAAATGATTACAAGCTCTGATGGTAAAACGAGCGAAAATACGTAAAACAGGTCCTGTTCTGGAGGGTCCCGCATTCCGGTTTGTAAATTATAGTAATTTAACCGGATAGCAGTGGGACGGTTCCTAGATGGTGATTTCGATTGGCTTCGGGGTAGCTGTTGAACACGGCACCTGGCAGACACCCCATGGACTCACCTGACACAAGCTGCTTGAAATCGGGGCTTGGTGAGCAGCATCCGAGCCTTAGATCTAAAAAGCGACCAGCCCCTGCTGACTCCGTCGATGGACTGTCCCGGTTTCATGGCCTTCAGCGCTCTCTTGGACACCAAACGGGTTTTCCCGCCCTCTTCTGTGTTTCGAGGGGTACATCAGAAGTGGTTGCCTGCTTGGTTCTTGAATCACAAGATGGCTGCCAGGAATAGGATTGGCAAATATAAAGCAGCTCAAGCGCTGCTTGAGCTATTGCACCTTGCATGAATGCACACTGCAAACTATATGGCTTGCGAATGGACATTTAAGTCGCCCACAAGACCTGAGGCAGTGGTTTCGGTGGTCCTTTGCTTGGACTTGTCGGGCTCTGTAAAAATAATGCCGCCCTTGGTTCAGGGATCCCTCCCCACAAACTTGTGATTTTCGGTATGAAGAGCACACAAATTCCTGACTTTGAAATGAAGCAACAATCAAACAAACAAACAAACAAACAAACAAACAAACAAACAAAAAACAAACAAACAATAAACAAACAAACAAACAAACAAACAAACAAACAAACAAACAAACAAACAAACAAACAAACAAACAAACAAAAACAAGCAACAATCAATGCAAATACATGAACACACCGGCATTTCCTAGGGCGATTTGCGGGGGGGAAAAAACAAAAAAACGCAAGGATGCGGCTGGAGAGGGGGGCGCCGGGCGCCGGAAACCCAAGGAGATCCACGAAGACTTGGTGCGCAACGCCTTCAAGCGCTTCGACACCGGTGACACGGGCCACATCTCCGCGCCTCGCTTGGGCGGTGTTCGCTTGGCGGGGAAAACCACAGGCGCTTTTTGGCGGTTTTGGGCGTTTTTGGGAACATCCGGAATCCAGCACACGGCTTCCCCCAAATTTCAGGGGTTAATTCCCTTGTCCATTCTTTTAAACCATCGTTCTTTTCAAAAACCTGCTGTTTCCCTCGGTTTTTGATGGTTTCCTGAAAAGAAGGATCCCTGGAAAGAATGGGGAAGGTAGCCCTAGACGAACAGATAGGTTAGAGGCATGTCTTAGGAAGAACGGAGTGCCACACGCACGATCTATTTAGGAGATTCTTCCACAAACACAAGCTGCGAGGTCCGGACCAGAAGACATGGTGTCTTATGGGAGAGCAGCGCTTCGAAAAGAAGGTATACTTACCCCTCAGTGGCCCAAGGAGCTCTTTTGGTTCGGGATGGTCTGAACTGCTCCATGCCATGTAGGTCCATTTGTTTCGAGGTCTCCAAATCCGGGGGCCAACAAAACGTGTGAGATTCTCCTTCCAAAACGACCCCCAAGGGGCGGGAGGAAGGGGTTTCCCATCAAACGACACAGCCACATTGGTGCATGTTGATGTTGGTCCCGTGTTGCTCCATCTTGCAGCGGTCCCATCCCCACCCCTTTGGGGTCGGAACATGGGGGCGGGGGACGTCTGAAAATGTAATTTGCATTCTCAGCCCCCGGTCCACCCAAAAATTGAATGCAACCGGAATTTCCTCCCCCCCCCAGGTGTATATTTCCGTTTTTTGTGGGGGGGGGGAGGGAGGGGGGGGTTATTTTTTTTAGTTAAAATGTAACTTGACACATGGGCACGTAGAAGTTACATTTTCTCATTCGCCCCCCTCTCCAGGTCGAGAGGTTGTCGCAAATGTAAGCTGATGCTGGAGGGGCAGTGGCTCATGTGCACTGGCTTTTTTGAAGGCATTGGGGATGGGGTCAGTTCATGAAATTGGAACTTGCTTATATGCGAGGTGCCTTGCTGATAGGTCCACCGGTCCACCAGCGTCTACAATGCAATCTTACATTTTTAGGTGGCAAACCCCAGAAAATGCAATGTACATTTCCCCTTACCGGGGTGGGGAGGCGGTCCCTATATTTTCCCTGCTTGGGGATTTGCATGATAAGTTTCCTGGGTGTCCTGGGGACTATGGCATGAGCTTAAAGTTCTTTCAGTTTCACCCTCGAAACATGGGCATCATTTCGTATGGTCCCTTGAATATGAAAAGCTACTGCGGTCTGCTAGCACCCAACCGCACTTGACATGTACAGTGGGAGGTCCCAGCAGCCGAATCATCTTTCCGCTAGTTGGTTTGGAGCTTTGAGGGTTGGAGCTTAGGTGGTTTCGCATTTACCCACAAGAGTTGGGTTCAAACCCAAATCCAAATCCAAGCCAAACCACCAGAGGGTTGCCTGATTCACCATCGAAGCCACGAGCCCCTTGTCTTTCTTGACCAGTCAGGTTGAACGTTAGGGGCACGCTGCGAGCTCTGGCAAAACGATTCCCATGGGGGTCCTGTACTTGACGATTCCTGGTTTCCAAGTTGTGAATTTGAATAAATGGCACAGGTCAATTTCGATTTCCACGTTTGACATTATTATCAACCACGGAATTGTACTTTTACAATTGTTTTGTTTGTGTAAGTTTGTTGGTTCTTTCGGGTTACCCTTAGTGGGTGATTTCAATTGGTGGTTTGGGATTTGCATCTCACCTCTTGAAGACGTCCTATCCAAACCGCCAAGCCACCAAACCAAACCACCAAACCAAAAGACCAAACCAAACCACCGCTTGGGGGGAAGCGGATTTGGCGAAGCGGATTCGTTCAGGCGGAGCACTTGAAGCAAGTGCTCGGCGAAAGCCTCGACAGCCAGGATCGAGCCGAAAAAATTTCTCGGCGCTCCCCTGAGGAACTCTCAAAGCGAAAAAGGCCGCGTTGGGAATGTTACGACCCCATATTAATCAACCAACCCGTTTAATAGGCGGGTGGTTTCTGATTCCCCACTAAACCCAGGGACATCCTCATATTAATAAACAAGGGTTCATTCATATGGGGTCAACATTGCTGAAAGGGAAACCCAAATGAAACCGGAGTACCGTTTTAGGGAACACCTAGTTTCAGACACACCCATCTAACCTCAAGGCATCCAAACCAATCTGACCAGTGTTTAAAACCGAACCTGGGTCTCCTCCCTAGTTCATATTTGGGAGACAGAATCCACAGAATCCTGTCACAGGCTTCCTTAAAGGAGACGACTTGGCCATCACTTTTTGCAAAGGTGTTCAGCATTTGCCAGGTGAGCTTTTGGTGCATTTAACAAAAGAACTGTTGCACCATTACCAAAGAAATTAGAGACCCTCTCTTGGGATTTGCACGTCATGTCTGTGTTTTCCTGTCCACCCCGAAGGGTGAAGGGAGGGTGGGGGTTGGGGGCGGGGGGGGGGCATGAAAGCGGCGACGCTCAGCGGCAACGACAAGTCTACTGCTGCATTTGCCCTCTCTCTTGTGTTGTTTGTTGAGGCTTGCTGGCTGTGCCCTACCTACCGCGCTCCTGCTCGCAGCTTCGCGCCGCTTGGTTCGCTGATCCCTTTTTTCTTGGACTCCCACATTGACGTGCTTAGTGTAACTAACACGAACTCCGTAACTGCTTGCGTTCGCTCGACATGTTCCTTGTCCTGTCGAGGCTCTTAATCTGCTCTCAATGCTTGGCTCGCTTACCTTCTGTCGGCTGCTTCACTTGCGTGAGCATCCGGCTTATTCAAGAGGAAGACGTAACTGCACTCAGACGGTGCGCGCTCTTGGCAGAGAGTAGTGCAAGACCTGAGGAATGTGGAGTCCTTCCATGTTTCCCATGATGGGAATGAGTGGACATGCAGAGTCAAACGCAGAAAGTCCCACTTGCAACGTCACGGGAACGCTGTGCATGGACCGCTACCGGCAGAGCCTCCAGCGATGTTTGCCAAGGCTCACTGAACAGAAAAGCGTCAACCCGCAGGAACTACATTTGCAGTTTTGGTTGGCGAAGGCAGTTGCAGCAAGACTGTGAGTCCGTTTGGGGAGCTAGCGCTCATCGCAATGGCTTCGAAGTGTCACGATTTGTCGCAACAAAGCTGCATTTGCCTGATCGGAGGCACGAAACCTGGTTTGGCCTGGAATTTTAGAGGTGATGGAAGGCATGGCCGCAGCACAGCCTTTTTATCAGCACGTGACCTTGCTTGCAATTGGAGACAGACGGATAAGCATAAGTCAACAAATCGTTAGTCAATCTCGCAGGCTTCTTTGCAAGAGCTTCAAATGGCGGAGGCCGAACAAAGGCGCCCCAAAGCTTTTTTTTCTGCACGTTTCGTTGGTCCCAGGCTGGTTTGCCCGACAAGGGTCCGGCTGAGTGGTTCTCTGTCTTTTTTGTTGGGTCTGCTCCCAATAGGGGTCCTAAAGGTACTGAAGACATGTTTTCCCCGAGCAAGTTTTACAGGTCGATGCATTTGTTTCCCCAAAACAGATCTTGCAAGGTAATTAGTTGAAAGAAAAATGTTTCCCCAACCTGAGATTCGAAAGGTCGACCTTTGGACGACCTGTCCAGGAGCAGGCAGCGGCTCTCATGGCGGAGGTGCAGGGAAGCTTTCTGCAGGACGGCAAGATCTCGCACCCTGGAGCGCAGGGAGCTGGGTTCC